GTATGTGCCCCTGTCATAAATGCAAAATATCAATGTAATTATAAGTTATTCTTCAGTGTTTATTACAGAATAAAACTGTTGAGCACTTTGACAAAAAACCTTTTGTTTCCCTCTTGGTTTGAGAGGTGAACTCGACTTCAAAACACAGTATGTGAAGGTTAACTTTGAAGAGTGTGTGTATCTCAATCTGTGGAGGGAAATTATGGAACGAATTACATATTCAATTTTTAATAATTTGATTTGTTTTTACAAATTAGTAATATTAATCAATTTAAAGGCGCATACAAAAAACATATATTCAGTAGGTATAAGGAGGGAGACAGGGTTGTATTAACACTGTTATTACTTATCATGTACAATATAAATCTTGTAAATATATCTATAGTTGTAGTATACCTCCATAGCTGTTATTTGTTAATGTTTAATTAGTAGTGGTATCACATATATCCTAATGAGGGTGACTAAATATTGTTGTATGTAGTGTAAAACTGTATATTAAATACATATTAATATGTATGTGTGTGTATGTAAGCCTATACATATATTTCTGCCGTGTATTGTTGTAATATATTTATAGTAATATTGGTAATGACATTGGTGGTATTATTGGTAATATACATTTCTATAACAATCTATTAGTAAATGACATTTTTTGTAGAGAAACTGATAATGTATATGGTACAATTATATACTGTATATCGGTGCAGTTGATTGATTATATACTGATGCATATTTTATATTAAATCAATTTATTATATACAGGAACATGTCATGAATCATAGGGTGATACAGGAGTTAATAAGTTTCTACTTCTTCCTGCTCCTTTTTGAACTCATATTTATACATTTTTCACCTTGTTTTTTTTTTTCAGTTTTATTTTTGTTCCTAATAAATATTTCATTCGTTATTCAGATTGTTGGACTGAAACAGCGTCCAGAGCATTTTTATAATAATTAAACAAATCAGATTTTATAGATGCTTTTAGTATGAAAACATACAAAGGTATAAGCAAAGCTGTAGTGACAAGCTGTAAGAAATCAGTCAAAAAAATAACAATCAGAAACTGTTTAACTGGTTAATTTGGTTTGGTGTTTTGGTGCATAACAACAAACAAGTAGAAAATATAAAACATGAGGTGGGATTTTTTTTATTTCTTTTTAAAGTGTTCCAACTCAAATAAGAGGCAAGTGTAGTAAATCAAAGGTATTATAAAAGTAAATAAAACACAATTTTATTGAGGAGAGACTGCTGCACAGGAATGTACACATGAGTATGATGACTGATAAAAATGAAAACATGTCACACTGGTGAGTGAGGAGACCGTCACAGAGCGTGCTGGTGAAATACTGCACACATTGTTTATTTCACATTTACAGATATTAATTGCAGTAAAGGTGCATCTGCTGAGCTCTAACTGTCCATCACGGCGTCTCGTTAGCGTCGCTGTGCAGTCACATCATCAGGCTGGTGGGTAGCCGAGGTATCGCGTCCGTGGGTTAACTCTCGTGTCCCGTGTTATTACACAGCAATATTTGGGGTGGCGCGCCTGTCGCCCGTGTGTTTTGATAGTCGGAGGCTTCTGTACAGAGATGGCAAGAGAACCGTAGCTGACTGTGGGGCCTGTACGGTTGGGCATTTCACCGACAACCGTAACGTCAGAGAGCCGCAGAGACCGTAGGAAAGGAGCGGAACAGCGAACAAGGTACAAAACACCGCCGCTGGTGCAACTTCGAGCAACACGAACGACTTTCTCACGGTGTTTTTCGGAAGCTAGCAGTTTGACTAGCTCTGTGATGGCGGACAATTAGCCAAGCTGCTAAGTAAGTTACTTAGCAAGCCGGCTAGCAGACAGCAACTGGATAATCGCTAACTTGGCTAAGTTTGTAACGCTAGCTTGCTAAACGAGCCATATCTGCTGTAATGTTACTTCAGATTTCACAGCTAAAGATTGAGAAAGCACGTTTAGTTCTTCGTTTATGTGCGGATATCACCGCCTGGCTAGCCAGTCTGGTATTATAACGGTAGTTAGAAGGGTAGTCAGCTAGCGTTAAGCTACTTACTGAAACAAATAACACTAAAAAGAGGATTTTTTCCTGTAGCTAGCTGGCTAGCTTATTGATAGCCAGCTAGCTGACTTTAGCTTTCGTTGCAGACTAGTCAGTACAAAGCTACATATCATTAACCAGCGGTTTCTGGCAGATATTGTACGTATGTGACATGTCTGGTGCAAGTGTGGCTAACCTTACGAGCATTGGGTCAGATTTAGGAGGTTTGGTGTCCGAAGGCCAACATTCACCTATTAAGTTACACTTTGTAAGCTAACGTTAGCTTGTAAGTAGAATATCCAAAGTTAGCCAATGTGTACGTTAAGCGTAACAGAGTTTGTGTGTCATGATCAACATTTAACATGTCAACAAGGTGGCTTATGGCCTACGGATAGTTTTAAAAGTGGAGTCAATCTGCTTGCTTACTATCCAGTAATTCGTGTTAATGTTTAGTGAACTTAGAAGAAAACAACATTGGTTATCCTTTAACCTTTAAATGTGCTGACATTTGTTGTCTTGAAGGTGGTTCTGTGGTTGTGCACAATACTTTAGGTAAACACAGGTAAACAAGGCCTGACATAAGGGACACTGCTATTTATTACAGCATTGCTTCAACTTAACAGTGGTGCCCTTTCTATAAATACTGGACAGGAACAATCCAACACTTTCACAGTCCCCGTCTGGTAAAGAAGGAATTTTGAGGCACACAGACACGCACAAAGACAAATCATATATATGTTAGTAAACTTGGACTCAGTTAATACCAGACCAAGCAAAATTAATGTGCAAGCGAGGTCTGTTGAGCCTTAAACACGACTTTTCACCAAGGTGTTTATCCTTTAACCTGGCTAGATCAGCATTGTTAGTCATGCCGCACAGCCAAACTGCTCCTGGGGAGGTTTAAAGTTGGGATTTAAGTATTAGCTGTAAGAAGCACCATCCTTTCACTCTTTTTTTTTTTTCTTTATGCGCAATACAGATTCTCAGCTGAAGAGATGTGTCATGTTTTACTTTGACTTGACTGAAAATTAATGTGCTTTCAACATAGCTTCCTTATAGAGCAGTGTTAGACATAAATGCACTTGTTGAATGTCATATTTGAAGTTTAAAATTTGTGCGCTCTAGTGTGTATCTGTCATAGTACAAATAATCAGCGTAAGAGTGCACTAAGTGGTAAAATAAATATATTAACACACGTATAAGTTTTGCATTGTTTGCAGTAACAGTGCTTTTTGCCTTAAAAACATTTTTATGTTCTTCGTAGTGCTCCATTAAAAATACGTGTTCCTTTTGGCTGGAGTAGCCAGCGTGTGATTGTTCCGTTTTGTGCAGAAGATGAGTCAAATGATATGTCAAACCCCGCTCAGGTGAGATTGTGCACAGAGCCTGGTGAAGAAAACCTGGATTAGCAAACAAAGTTGATGACCTGAGTGGGGTTGTGGGTTTTACCAAGGTGGCTTAAGAAAACCTGACAATGTCAAACTTTATTTGTTGGACACCCGAGTGATGAAAATCCCCATCAGTAGAGGACAGGCCAAGTTCTGTTCTGTTAGCCGTTTGTGAATCAGCTCGATCTCAGAGAAACTGTCATACATGACTATTTTTTTTTAAGGACTGATGCACATTTTTTGTAATACAATCTCAGTTATTGTATTTCAGGATTATCATTGACTATCTTCCTGTTTCTCTGCTTTGAGCAGTGGTTTGGCAGCTCAGGCTGTCACGTGCTCTATGTATTGGTGCCACACAGGTAGGGAATTAGTCACAGGAAACTGTCTCTTGAGCACCAACTTTTGCTTGCTGGACCTGAAATATACTTGTTTGTGTTCTCACTCGCTCCCTGTCACACACAGACACACACACTGACCTTTGAAAAGCAAGAAACAGCTGTGGGGAAAACAAGAGTTGTCTGCTACTGCTGTGTGAAGTGAGCCATGCCAACTAAGGAAAAGTTGTGAGAAATACAAGCAGCCCCCAGTTTTTAAGATAAAGCAGAGTTAGGTTAAAGATTGTTATTCACTTAGCCTTTTAACAGCTATTAACTGTATACAGGGACATTAAAACAACAATCACTGTCTCATTACCAAGGCTTAATGTGACAGTAATTGCAAATTTGGGGTTCCTGACGACTAAACAGACCGATTAAAAGCCCCTGTCTGGTAAAAAATAAGCTTTTTCTGCCTACTGATGGTGTACATGTACATTGTAGATGTACTTTATGTCTTGAGGTGTGTGTTTATTTTGATCTGCACAGAAACTGATATTAAGGAAACAAAACAAATGGACAATAAGTTATAGCCTTATATTCCGTTACTGAGGGTATGACTCGTTTTTTGACCAGCTTTGTGGACCTGGGGGGAGTTCTTGAAATTGGGGCCTTTGTCCGGTTCATGTAAGTGAACACCCCCTCCAACAGCATCATCTCCCCAGAAGGTCCTGTGCAGGATAATCTAATGCAACAGGCCTGTGTCTATGTGTGAGCTGTCATGTTTGAAATGAGGGAGCCTTTGTATTCCTGGAGCCCATTTAAAAAGGTCTCTCAACCAACCTTCCCTAATGAACTTTGGCATGAAGCAGACACACAAACAAACATGCACCACAAAACATGAAGTGTGTTGTCTCGCAGTAAGCAGGGTGCTAGTCGCATGTAAGCATATCCACCTTTACACCAGCACTGCTGAAGGCTGATGACCAGCACATTAAAAAATACAAGCAACCAGTTACATGGCAGTGCAATTAAATAAAGTAAATCTAAGATAAAAGGTTAAATACATACGTACATATACATTTGAAGTGTCTCTTACACTTTAGACTTGGTGCAACTGAAAGTCCCTCTTAAGGGGAAATAGACATGTTAGAAAAATACTGACTTCCATTAATCCTGAAGCAAGGTGCTGAACCATGGGTTTTGGATTCTAAATTGATGTGCAAATCACACCTACTCTCATTTAAGATTATTTTGATTTGTTCCAAAGTGAAAATGCCTCTTACAGTTAAATTTACTAAAGCAGTCCAAGGCTCCCTAAAATCAGCCAACCAGCAAATCATTCGTTATTCATATTTGAGAAGGTGAATCAATTTTTTGTCCTGTTTATGCTTCGACATAACCCAAACATCTAAGAAATAATTGTCTTTAGTAGTATCCACATGCCCAAAATGGTTTTGTTCTTCGCTTTGAAAGAAACAATCCTCATAGGCCCAGCTTGACGAAATAGGGAGGTCCTACTTGTTCTTTAAATTTGCCATTTCAAACCACGTACAGTGTGAACAGCACCTAAGAGCTGGTGAGCAGTGGATGACATAACCGTTGTAGAAGTTCTGCTCATCACATTCAGGTAGTTGTTGGGTTTTTTTTACCCAGCTGGCTGAGGCTTTATGGAGTCTCTTTGTTTGCCTTAATGGATGCCATCTTTTGCAGGAAGTCGTGTGTTACTAATGCGTTGACGTTGGCTAGGTATTCAGAAGTTGTACATCGCTTTGTCAAGTCATACATCTTTCTCTATACACTGCTGAGATATGACTGAGAGTACAGTTACTTAGCCATCTACCATAGAACCATATGAACATAACATGGGAGTTAAATGTCTCAAGTTCTGGTGGGGAGCCTGTCGTATGGCGGTTATTCAAATATGACTTGCATTGCTTTTCAGTTTATCAGTCACTGATGCCCTTGTGACCATGTTTAGTGAAAAAGGCTTCCTGGCACTGTGAAAATGTGTCACCATCCTCAGAATGGAAGTAAATATTTGCAAAGCTTGTCAATCACATTTTACCCCGTGAATTTTAACAGGCTTTAAGCGTACAGATTGTGGCTCGTACAGTGTGTAACAAAATAGGATAATTAAAATATGACAGCACATGCTCAGTATAACTGTGTAAGATTGGTTCCTTGTCTGCAGTAAACTTGTCTTTTCTATGGGTTGTGGGTACATACTGGAGCCCACAGAGGACATTTGACCAGACACAAGCAGAGTATAAAAATCAGACACAGAAAGTTCTTGTGCTTTAATTGATTGTGTCCTTCTCTGTGGAAGCAACACTGCTATCTACTGAACCACATGTTCAGTGTGGCTGTATTGTTCATGTGACTGTTTGCAAATGTGATGGGTTTTTTTTGCCTCAAACATTCACACTTTTAAAATAAAGTTGCATTTAATCGAGAAAGATGCTGATCAGAGGCTGAGAGGTGGCTCAGTGGTTAGCATTGTTGCCTCGCAGCAAGAAGGTCATCGGTTCGCATCCCAGTGAGGACACCTGGGATCTTTCTGAGTTTGCATGTTCTCCCCGTGCAGCATGGGTTCTCTCCGGGTTCTCCGGCTTCCTCCCACGCAATCCATAAAAGTTAATTGGTGATTCTAAATTGTCCGTAGGTGTGAATGTGAGTGTGCTTGGTTGTCTGTCTCTAAGTGTAGCCCTGTGATAGACTGGTTACCTGTCCAGGTGAACCTGCCTTCACCCTGAGTCAGCTGGGATAGACTCCAGCCCCCCATGACCCTAGTGAGGATTAAGTGGTGTGTAGATAATGGATGGATGAAAGATGCTGATCAGCATTGTTTTTTAGATCACTAAGTGGTCCTGATGTTCCACAATTATTATTGACATTTTTGTGGATTTAATTCTGTTCAGATCCATTTAGGTATATCTGTATATATGAGTTAGTTATACATACACAATGTACAGTGGAGGATTTTAGAAGTACTACTCACCCAGCTGTACTATGAACATTCAGGTTGCGTTTTAGTCTAGACGGGCAGAAACAGTCTTTTGGGAATGAGGATGCAGACGCCTATGTTCACTTTCTGATTGGGTCTTAGCTGCTACTGTGTGATGTTTCCTGATTTGTCACAATCACGTGACTGTTTTCCAGAAGAAAACAGAGACTGCAGCTTTGATGACCAGTGGTTACTTTAACATAGATAATGTATGACAGACATTGCTTGCCTTGTTGTCTACGCTAGCAGCTTAGCAACCAACCCACTGCTTCATGTTTACACGGGCACTTGCATGAGATTATTTCTGAGAAATGTTTATCTGGGCAGAGACCATTTTTGCATTTTTTTTTTTTAATTGAAAGCATATTAGTGTGGGTGTATGAGGGAGGAGCTATTCCTAATCAGCCCCGTTCGTTTTCCCAGAATGCCCCCTCTTGCTTCACTTATACACAAAAACATGATTTTGATTTGATGATTGATAGCCATGTGTCCAGACTCTTTAAAGTGATGGCAGATGAGTGGAATATATATGTGTGTGTGTCTGTAAACATGTGGATAAGTCACATATATTACTACGTACAGCTAACACATTTTAAACGTTAGCTTGGGGTCAGACCTTTCGCCTTAAAGTTATTTAAATGGTCGGTTAGCCGGTAGCAGTGAAATCGTTAGATATGAATTGAGCCCCTGACACTGTGCTGCTGACATGGATAATTTTTGCCTCCATCTGCCCTATAGCATGCACGCTGATCAGTTAGTTCTGGCACGAACTGTCCCTGTCTTTTTAATTGGGTTCCTTCTAAGCTGCTTAAAAGCCGCCTGCTCCAGCATGGGGTCTGTGCGATCAACGAGCCTCAGTGTCAGACTGGTGCTGTGACTGTTTAATCATATCAAAAACCGCTCTTTGCTAATTGGAACCTTTGCAGAGGATCAGGAAGCAGTGGGTGTACTGACTTATTGGCCTCTTCGAGCAGAGACTCCTAACAGTTAGTGGGCATGTTGTTTTTTAGCTCGTTGGCTTATTATGTTCTCTTTGCTGTTTCAAAAGGGGCCGGGCTAGCATGCCTAAACATTGGGGATCAGGATGACGGTCCTGTCAGTAGCGACAATCGGGGTCAACCTTTTCCAAAGAGAGTTGTATTTAATCTTGATTGTTAGTGGTCTTGAATTTAAGTGTCATTCCATATCCATCTCTTAATCTCATTGTACATGTGTATAGTGACAATAAAGACATTCTATTCTTCTATTCTTCTATATACTGCTTAATCTACTAACGACACACAAAAGAACATTTAAACTACAATTTTAAAAATCTGTAACATTGGTTTAGTAGCATGCATTTTGATTTTATAGTTTGACCCAAACGTTCAAGCATAATTGCAAATACTTGTGTTCAGGGTTTTACATGGAACAGCAAATAGGAAAATAACGCAATATAACAATCATAATCATACTGTAATCAATTAGCATGAATTAGTGCTTTTCTGAGGAATAATCTGTTTTTGTTTTGGGTTTTTTTGCCGTCTTCTTTCCTGCACTGCGAGGACGTAAATTCATCGACGAATACGCATTTTATTCTCATGATGTAAAATTAAAACATTTTTTGCAATTTGAAATAGCTGCACTACTGTACAATTTTAAATACCACTAATGTGAATCAAACCCTGTGCGTTACAGATGCTAGTTAGGTCAGAATTTATTACATTGCAGTCACACAAAGTCTGAACACGAGAGTCATTTCATATTTCAACCTCTGTATTCATATTTGGGTATGCCGTAGCATTTACAGGAAGGTGACAGAACACAGTTCAAGTCCAAGACGCAGCTTCCCAGCACCACAGGACTACATGCCACACTGCTGCATGAGTGATCAGACCAGTTCTACACAGATTCACTTTAACCCAATTACCCTAATCACTAGCTGAGAAGTGAAAACAAAGCTGGCTGACCGTGAACTCTATGTTTTAAACAAGTGTGCCTGACGTTGGAAAAACCTTTGTGTGTCCAAAATGGTTCAAAGTAGAAGGCCAGTTGAAAGTATAGGGAAGGAATAAGGACAGTCCTGAACTGGGGCCAAGAACTATGAATTAGTTTTATGGTGTTTACATTATGGCAGACTAAACCTAGTGCTCACAAGTGACGCTTGCCTTTACTGTAGTGACACTGTAAAATGTAATCACTGCAGAGAAATAATTTAACTGAAAGAAAGAAGCCAGTTTTCTTTGCTCTGAGTGTAGAAGTAGTAAGAAGTAAGCTCAGAGGAACATAGAGTTGCTGGAGGGATGTAAAGAGAATCAAATATGCAACTCTTAGTAAGCTGTATTAGGAATTAGGAACACCCTAAGTGTAAGGTGGATTTAATATTACGCTGTGACAATTAAAAAAGCAGCAGGGGCTAATTCACAGAATGTCCTCTTGATGTGTTTTTTTTTTTTTTGATAATTAGTGATCAAGGAGAGCGATAATTGATATTCAGAGCAGATATACAGTCGCAATAAAACTAATGCAAACTTTAACACAAACCTTTTATTTAAATGTCCCATTTATTTTTGCATATGTTTAGGTTAGCACTGTTGCCTCGCAGCAAGAAGGTCGCTGGTTCGCGTCCCGGTGGGGGCACTGGGATCTTTCTGTGTGGAGTCTCCATGTTCTCTCCGTGCAGTGTGGGTTCTCTCCGGGTTCTCCGGCTTCCTCCCACAAGTCCAAAAAACATGTTGAGGTCAATTGGTGATTCTAAATTGTCCATAGGTGTGTCTGTCTCTAAGTGTAGCCCTGTGATTGACTGGTTACCTGTCCAGGGTGTCCCCTGCCTTCGCCGTAAGTCGGCTGAGATAGGCTCCAGCCCCTCATGACCCTAGTGAGGATAAAGCAGTGTACAGATAAAGGATGGATATGTTTAGGTAAAACTAAGTTCTCAACATTCCTTCAGCGTTGCTATTACTTGTGACGTGCAACCAATCAGATAGCGCTGTGGGCGGGACATTGGTCAGGCAGCTGCATCAGAGCCAAAGTAACACCAATAACCGGCCAGGCTGGTGATTGGTCAACCACCAGTTTTAATCAAGTCATAGATCAGCGTTTGAAGTGCTGCAGTTCGCACCAACTCTGAAAAATGTGCCTTTGTCGTTTTCAGAGGAGCCATGGGACACGGAGTGGGCTGAACCAGAGGGTCTAGCAGCACACACCAATTGTGAGTATAGATGATTTTTCCAGCATCATGTCTGTGGAGAATTACAATAAAGAGACCTACTTACAACATTACATAAATGACACTATTATTGCACTCAATGTTGCTAAATATTATGTGTAATATTGTATATTTACTTACTACACTTAATGTTTACCAATATTAGCACCAATAGTAAAATTAACCAGTGTTAAATGATCTAAGTGTGAGAGTAGCAGGCACTTTTACAGTCAAGCCTACTTTTAGAGGATGTTGAGTCAACTTTCAGGTGCAGCTAAGAGCCGGTTGGACTTCAGCCACAAAGCTCCTCAACAGCATGTTAAGAGTTCATGTGTGTCTTATTTGGAAATTTACTGTATTTATGTCTTGTGTGTTTAATGTTTGCTTTGTGGTCTGTGTGTGGGTCTGAAGGTTCCCACTGTGGTGTATGACATGGCCACGGCCTCATCTAGAGCAGAGAATAGCCATAACCACAGAGGAACGTTACAGCTCCATGCCATTGGTAAGTTCAGACACACGAGGCTGTGATGTGTGGAGGTGACGGTGTAGCCTCAGGGTCCAGACTCCAGAATCTAACTATCTGACTAAAAGTTGTCACCTTTATTCTGAATGTAAAATTTTGAAAGTAAATATTTTCAAGATGTCTCAAGACTTGCTCCCTTTATTTACCCCCCCACCAGTATCCTGTGCCAAACTCAAAAGGAAGAAGAGCCTGTTTGGGACTGCCATTTATGTGGAGGTGACAGCAGAGGGGGAGTCGCGCCGCACAGCAAAATCTCACAGCTCCTCCAGTCCGAAATGGGAGGAGAGGCTCATTCTGTAAGAACCTACTCCGTGCAATGGACTAGCAGTGTGTTCCTGTGTGTTGTAGCATGTTATTTGTTTACCCTAATACCACATTTTGTTGGTTTTCTTCATCTCTTTTTGCTTTTTAACACGTGTGCTGAATATACATTTGTACTAGGCCTAGTTTTATATCACTAACAGAAGGTAAGGATTTCTCTGAGTTGAGCTTCCCACAAACATCTGTCTTCTGACACTCCCCCGAAACACAATGTTCCAAGAAAAATGTTCTCCAATGACCCACACTCATGTAATAAGTTTCTGAAAGAGAAAATAATGGGCCAAAAATATTTTTTTTTACATTTCAACAGTGCTTTTTAGTTTATGTTTGGTACGCCCTGTACTGTACCCTGCGTAATAGAAGTAAGGCTCCTGAAAAGTTTATTTGTAATTATAAACATAATGAGAGGGGTATTGGTGGCTCAGTGATTGCGGTAGGCTTTTGGCTACTGTTTAGAAGGTCGGGGGTTCAAGCCACAGCAGCGCCAAGCTGCCACTGTTGGGCCCTTGAGCAAGACCCTTAACTCTGTCTGCTCCAGGGATGCCGCAGTGTGGTCGACCCTGTGCTCTGAGCCAGCCTCCTAACAAGCTGGAATATGCTGCAAGATCAATGAATCATATAAAATACAAGATACAAAAATACCCTCAGGTGGCTCAGCTGATGAGAACAAGGGGGAAAACTGTATGACAACACACAGAACTCTTTGTATCATATGAGACACTAGTGGAGTCAGTATCCTGAACATAGCAGACTTGTACTGCTCTCTGGCTTTCTAATGGCTCAGCCAAATGTCATTGCAAATGCTAATTGTCTTGATTGGGAAATAATTGCTGAGAAAATGGAGTTCTGCTGTGCTTGTGATCTTTTGTATGCGTCATGGATGTTGTGCGAGCTGCTATGGACCCTGCATATGGTGTTCAAGCTAAAATCCTAGATGTTTCTCTTTCTGCTGGTATGCTCAGCCCTCAATACAATGACTGTGCTGTGTTGCACTCAGTTTGAGTAAAGACAGAAAACACAAGGAGACGGCATTATGTAAACTGATAACACACATCATTCAGTCTGCAGCAGGACCAAGTAACTCTGGTGGGATTATTTGAGGGGGAGCACACACTGAAAGGAGGAGCTGGTCAAAGAGGGTTTTGTTTGTTAAATGTACATCCTGTAATACCATGTGTTTCCCTTTGCTCTCCACACTCCTGAATATATTCAGTGGTACTTCCTAAACATTTGTGGCAATGCAATCCTAGATTAAAAAAGGGTAAACGCTGCAGATTTCTCTTTTTGTTTTATTTTGCATTCTGTCGCCCCTCTTGTGATGACATAAGTTTATGTGATGTATGCTCAAATTTGAAGTATTACATGTGCATGTTTGTTTGCCTTTCTGATTGTCTAGGAATGTAACACCGCACACACAGGTGGATTTCAAAGTATGGAGTCACCACACGTTGAAAGCAGATGCTCTGCTGGGCAAAGCCACGTTGGACCTAAATCAAGCCTTGGAGCAGCATGACAGAAAATGTAAGGTTAAGGGTCAAACATAAATAAAAATATTGAAACAGAAAGTGTAGGAGTGTAGGGTGGCATATTCGCATATATTGGCGTATTCTATAAATGTTTTACCATTTACATTTTGAATTTGTCTTACTTGTTGCCTGTCTGCTCTGTCAAACCGACATACCCTTAACATCTCTTTTAAGGATGCTAAAGGATCCTGTAATGTTTTCTCATGGCCTCCCTTATTTGTAACGCCTCCTCTCACACCTGCTTTGCCTCTACAGTGGAGAATGTGAAGGAGGTGCTGAAGTTGAGTGCGGAACAGAAGGGGGCCTTGGTGCCCATAGGGGAGCTGACTGTGTACCTAGATGGACTGACTGTCACTGACCAGGAGGAGCTGGCACCACTTACCAATGGCAACGCAGCAAATGGCACCAGTGAGCTCAGTATTTATGTTGGAATGGGTGATGATGGGGTTGTCAATTTGAAATTACCAGCTATGCTATTAAATGTGTTTTCAATGAGGAAATGGCAAAAAAAAAAATCCACAAAAACATGCATACAGAGGGCTGTTGAACCATCATCAAAACCTCTGTTTGTTTTAGCAAATTCACTAAATGCACACTTGCTCAGTATCTGTAGGGTAACACTGCTTTCTCGAATCTTCTCCAGAAGTCCAACAGAATGGTGATGCCATCCATGAAAATGGAGACTCATCTTCTTCCTCCTCAAGGGCTGCCAACAGGTAAACTGACATTTTATGGTCCTCCACATATTTCATGAGGACAAAGATTCTGCCTACTTGTCTTTTCCTAAAATGGTTCTTGGCCTGGTGAGGATGACTGCTTCAAAACAAGGAGCATGCTTATCCTCAAGTAGAAGAATGCTAACAGACCGATGAGTATGTTTGCCCAGATTCAATACAATAAGCCAGTGGAGGAATACATGAAGGCATAATTTATCCTACTGTTGATACTCATATTGTATCTTGTGCCAGTTCAGTGAGGTCTGTACCTTGTCTGTCTGTGTCTTACGTTTTCTTAGACCTTACTGTCCCCGTAATGCTTTTCAGTTCTAGCCTGGTGCCACTCTTATCTGCCACATTGTAAAAATGCCCTTCTCAGTGCCCTAACTGCATTTTTATTGGAAAACCACAAAAGAAGCATGTCTGCTCATCACACCAGATGGGAGGCTGTTGGGGGGGTGGGGGTGGGATTGTGGCTGCCTGGCTGCTCTCTGCATTGCAGTTGCTGAGAGGACTGCAAGACACAAACAAGGGGGTATTTAAAACTGTTTCCACTCCCTGGGAGTTCCAGAAATGTACTCAGACAGATTGAAACTGTAGCCAGCTGAAGGACATTTGTGGTGGTGAGACAAGAACTACCCTTGTCATTGCTGCCTAAATAATGAAACCCTAAGCATAAGGTAAACAGTGTTTAGAAATAAGATAACAAATATAAGTGGTTTTCCTTATGTAAACCCAAAGTCAAAACAGAAGATTAATTTTTCTTGATGTTGGAATTTCTAAACAATTTTTTAAATGGTAAATTCAACCAAAAATAATGCATTTTAAGGAAAAACTTGACCCCTACAGTGATGGGATCTGGTAGCTTTTATGCTGTGGGAAACAGCTTGCTGCCATGGTCCACTTGTCCCCTTAAAAAGAAGAGTCACTGCAAATCAGAACGAAGTTGTTTAAGTGATCAGCTTTGTCCTATGATGAAACGTTTCTGTCCTAATGGAAGTGGTCTTTTCCAAGATGACAAGGCTGCCATGTATAGAGCAAGAGAGGTCTCTGAACGAGTATAAAAATTATGTAAATCATATTCTACGACCTGTAGTCACCAGATCTCAACCCAGTTGAACACCTGTGGCAGATTTAGGACTGACATGTTAGACAGATCTCTCCAAATGGGAGAATATCTGTTGAGGACTAGTGTTCATCCCTCTATTGGTGTTCCAGAAACTTGCATAATCAATGCAAGACATATTGAAGCTAGTCTTGTTGCACATGGCACTCCAGCACCTTGCTAGCTTTAACTTGTCATCCGTCTGTAGGTGCAGCAGCAATGAGAAGAAAAGCAAAAATGTTAAATTTAACATTAGTAATCAAAACAAGGTTCCATAAATGCTTCAAGAAACTGTTCTCGCCTGTTCAAATGCTGCTATAACAAATCCCAGAAATCTAATTTCTAACTTGAGTTATTTTAGCACTGAATATTCTTGACTAAACCAACTTTTAATGTTTGATCAAAGTTCTGAAAACCAAACTTTCTTGGTTATTATTCATTCCGACAAGTGAGCACCACCCACTCCAAGATCAGTGAAAACAGCAAAAAAAAAAAAAAGGAAATGTTGAAATCCAGGAGGCAGAGGTGAAGGTGATTGATTGCATTATACTCCAAAGAAATCCCACCTTGCATAAGAAAAGAAAAAAAACTGCTGTACAAGGTCTTGGCTTCTGACTTGCCTTAAATTTAGTAGAGCTGAGTACGTGTTCATCGCCTCTACATTTTTTAAATGTAGTACTGTTTTCAGTCCAAACTTGGCATCAGTCTCCGTGCACTTTTCCCAAAATGTGGCTTTACAGGGCTTCAGACAAACTTTTTTCCACTAGAAGCACCGGCGCTCCCCACGAAAAATATTACGTGCATCAGCATAAAATTTAGGAGCACCCCTTAAATCAACATGCAGTGCACCACATTCACATTCAACTGTATTACCAATACATTCTTCGCAATAAATACACAAATTGGCTGTTTTATTTTCCAAGAAAAGGTCACAAAGTGAAGTAGTGCTTTAAGAGGAATATTGTTATGTCAGAGGTGCTGCTATTTGTCTGCATCTTCCCCCTGCATAGTTTAGGCTTAATGCTGCTTTCAGAGTATTTCATGCTTAAAGGTTGTGCTTGTGTTGGAAGAATTGGTTTATGTAATAATAAAATAAAATACAAAAATGTTGGGCTACACTGAGGGCAGTACAATACATGGCGTTATTCTCTCCTGGTGTTCTTTTCAACATGAGTTCACCTGCTGATTCCTCGCCTGTATTGTCTTCTTCAGATATGTGGGACTGTAGTTGCACAAAAGGGTCTGAGTAAAATGTTTTTGTGACATCCCACTCAGAATTGTCCCTATCCTGCATTGTTAGGATGAGTTTCTGGACTCCTAACACTCCATCTCTCTCTCACACACACACATACACACAAAGATAATTTAAAAAAACAAAATAGGAGCATATTTGCAAGTCGCACCGGTGTTCCTGTTTGTAAAATCTAGTAGCACTGTCTCCAAAAATGGTTTCAAAATGCAACTAAATGGTCAGTCGGGCATCCTCCTTCACATTTATTCACAACATAGAAAAGTTGGCCTAACAGAGGGTAGTTGTCGACTAATTGGCTGGGAGCCAGTCTGCCTCTGATCTGTCCATTCACGCCTCTCTTTGTTTTGTTAGCTCTTACATCATACGTTACTGTATGTTTGAGTGTGTCTACTTGCGATCTACACTTCTCTTCTGAAATCCCTGCGCCATCATCTCTCCGTTTTTTTTCTTTTTTACACTTCATTGCTTTGTGGGATTTTTAGATTGCTTCCCTTTCAGTTAGTTTATGTTTCCACTTCACCTCAAACTGTCCTGTTGGGAACCCCTCGCTGTGAATCCAGAGGCTCCATGCCTCAAACAGTCTGTCAAAACACTTAATGCTGGTCTCCATGCTGGCTGCGGGACTGTGATGTTGAATATGATTCAAACTGTGCGTGTTTCTCTATTTATATAATTTGAGTAACTGTTTGACTCTTTTGTCTTTGCACCTCATTTTCTCTCAGCGTCAGATTTCAGCACTAAGACGTGAAGTCCACTTGCCTCTGAGTCGCTGTTTGAAAATCTGTTGGCATCGCTTCCTGTACGGTGCATCTTAACAGACGTTATGTTTTGATCGTAACCTTGTATGACTTCCAGACAAGCGGAGTAGTACAATCAGCATTCATTTGAATTGCCTGCACTTGTGACCTTTTTAGAGTTTTTCTTGTTGGTAACTGGATACCCACCTCTTGCTCTGACAAAGCCCGGACTTGATGGCACATTTTGTATCGGTCTTACTGTTGCGCACGTCTTTGGCTCTGACTGAACTCTGCCGGCTCACAAAAGGGCCTCTTCAGCTGTGCTCATTACGTCACCATACAATCCCATTATGTCCTGTTCTTACCCCTACAAAACAATAGCCTCAGTGTCACAAGTCAGAGCGTTTTATTTGACACGCACAGTGAAAGCCGCGCACATTTAGGCTCCTTCTCAACCACGATTCAGGTTTGATACAGTACAGCTAAGCTCCTTTTGTTTTTGTTTTTTTCTCCTAAAGCACAGTGAATGGTACGGACTTGGGCCCGAGGTCAGGATCCTGTTCAGCCTCCAGTGGTGCAGATGGGCAGGTGCCTTCCAGCTCCTGCAGCCCTGCTCTTGGTCGTGTTGTCAATGGAAACACCACACCCAATTCCACCCCGGTCCACCAACCCTCCGACAGTGATACAGAGAGTAGAATGGGTGAGTTTGTTCTTTTTTTCTTTAAATGTTGAATCCCTTGGTCCCCAGATTTTCCCTTTGAGTGTTAATGGTGTATGACATTTGGTTGAGACGTGGACAAAATATGTTCTGAATGAGTAGAAAAGGCTACTGTATAGGATCACATCAGATAATTAATGTGTGCAGATTTTTTGCAGGTATTCATTGTGCTGCCTGGCATTGTCTCGGGTCACTTTAAGCTTATGTTCTTCACGGTTCACGTGGTCCCAGTGAACAGTGGCGAAGAGCAGTAGATTAATTTTCATTAAGTGAGGCCTGTAATCTCTGCTGCTGTCAGCACCTCTGTTCAAACCCCCTGGAGAGAGAGACAGGATGAGACGGAAAGCAGAGTGCAGTATGCTGTGAAAGGCTGGCTGCACCGAGCTGAGGTTGATGACAGAATGTTAATTCTCTACTAGTACACCTAACTTAAGGTCAATGGTCGCCTAAAAAAAGAACTGACACCGCTGGTTTGAATAAATAAAAATGCTACCCATGTGCGCTTAAGATTTGATCTGGTTTACCTCACTTCTGGTCCTCGGGGGATTTCACATTCCTGTTACAGCCTTAACTTTATGTTCCTGAGACACTGAGTCCAAAGTACTTCCACACAGAACTTTTCAGATGTTTAGTGTCAAAATGTATTTATGTAGTATGGCTTGATATTCATTTTTTTCCAACTCAGGGCTGAAAAGCAGTTTGCTCAAGTCATGCATGGATCCAGTGGTTGGTCCATAGTAAACACGACCAATGTCTTACTCTGATTTACCTGCAGTCAACGGGGAGTCCTGTGATGCTGCTCTCGGGCAACCGTCTGCAACAAGAAGTGATGTGCTGCCCCCTGCAGATGACCATGAGGACTGCATTCAAGATGCTGCCCTGCCCGACTCCGACACAGCACCAAATAGCACATGTCAATCCCCGCCGACTTCCACACCTTCTCCAGCCTCCTCTGTTGCTGCTAAACCTGCTGATGGCACTGCTGCTACTGCTGCGTCTGCTGCTTCTGCTGCTTCCTCCACGTTTGCCTCTCCACCCCAGGGGGCCACCACCGTCACAACGTCCTCATCATCATCTTCTTCCTCCCCAGCTCTGGGGGAAGCAAATGCTTCAGGGGCTGGAGGTGGTAGCAGCAGTAGTAGCAGTACAACTGTAACTACAGATGGGGCCAAACCCAGGCAGCAGGCCCCCAATGCTGGAGCCCCAGACCCTCTACCACCCGGGTAAAAACCACCTTCAGCTGCACATTTTATGCGTTCTCTGACAGTTTCTTGTTACTGGATTGTGTCAGTTATTATGACACAAAGAGGATTTACATTAAATTGATTCTCCTGGACGAACAAAACACCTATGCTCACTCATGTTTGGGATTTTTTAACTTGTTAACTGTTGTGTCTTTCAGGTGGGAGCAGAGAAAAGATCCACATGGGAGAACATACTATGTAGACCACAACACCAGGACGACTACCTGGGAAAGACCACAGCCACTACCACCAGGGTGAGCATCGCTGTTTCACTTGTCGTCTCTTTAGTCCCTATTAGAGTAGAATCTTTACTGGGTTCATCTGGTTTTTTTTGTTGTTGTTGTTGTTGTTTTTTTGGTTTTTATACGTAGGTTATCAGAACACCCAGTTTACACCTAAATGCTACAACTACATCTGCACCTAAATAGAAATATGTAGATGTAGACTAGCTGCATTCTTACTGATTCTTGAGGTCAGTTTGCATTGTGACAGTTTCATTTGATAGCTAATGCCTGGTAATGCATTGCCAAACAGAAGACTTTATTCTCTGATTTGTTGGTGTCTTTTTTTTATAGTCATTGGCAGCAATCACAAACATGCATCTCTGTCTCTCTGTGCTGTCCCTTTATTCTGCCAGGTGGGAGCGCCGAGTAGACGACCGGGGAAGGATCTATTATGTGGACCACAACACCCGTACAACCACATGGCAGCGTCCCACTATGGAGTCAGTGCGCAACTTTGAGCAGTGGCAGAGCCAACGCAGCCAGCTGCAGGGAGCTATGCACCAGTTTAACCAGAGATACCTCTACTCTGTAAGTTCTTCTTCGCCACACTCAGTCTTTTGTAGTAAATTAAGTGCCTTACATTTAAAAGAAAGGCCGGTAATTCATGCAGAAACACTACGATAGCCAGTTGATCCCTCCTTTGCAAATTAGTGGATGAAAGTGATATTAGTATATACTTCTATCGTAAGTCCTTTTTATAGTTGCGTCAAGTTGCCCTGCACATACCCTACTCTGACTATAACCTTGACACTCACAATATTTTCAGTTTTTACAAACAAATGCCCTGTAAATTTGCACATTAAACAGCAAGTATAATTCCACATGCAGTATTAATACCCAGTATGCAAGTCCAGTTCTGCTGACTAGAGATAAATCTGCATCCCTTTGATCTTTCGCTCTGTGAAACCTATACATTATTGAATCATCCAGCCACACTGGATCTCCACAGCTTTTATCTTTCATCAGCTCATCACCCAAACCGTATGCAAATACTTAACCAGTGCTATAGAAAGTAAGGAAACGTCTGTGTCTTTAATTTAAACACTTTAAATCAAGTAAGAGAGAAGGTTTAGTTTTTGGCCACCACTGGTGATCACGTTGCCTCGACCATTATCTAGAGCTCTGAAATGGCTCCATTGTCTTTTTTGAAAACATTAAGGCATCCCTTTCAAAAGACCAGATATTTGCATAGCCAGGCCTGTATCAACACATGATGAATACCTGATTTAATTACTGAGGGTTTCAGCTTTAAATGTTTTCATTCAGACAATTGAAATGCAATCATTTCTGTTCAGGTCGTTGTCCTTTTCTTCCTTATAATGAATCCCATCTCTTTCTCTGGGTGCGTTTGGTTTGCAACTCTGTTCACTCAAGGAACTAATTTGCATTTACACACGTGGACAAAATTGTTGGTACCCCTCGGTCAATGAAAGAAAAACCCACAACGATCACAGAAATGACTTGAATCTGACAAAAGTAATAATAAATAAAAATTCTATGAAAATTAACCAATGAAAATCAGACATTGCTTTTGAACTGTGGTTCAACAGAATTATTTAAAAAAATAAACTCATGAAATAAGTCTGGATAAAAATGATGGTACCCCTAGAAAGGACTGAAAATAATGTGACCATAGGGACATGTTCAATCAAGGTGTGTCCTCTAATTAGCATCACAGGTGTCTATAAACTTGTAATCAGTCAGTCTATTTATAGGGTTACAAGTCGTCACTGTGCTGTTTGGTGACATGGTGTGTACCACAGTTAACATTGACCAGAGGAAGCCAAGGAGAGAGTTGTCTCAGGAGATTAGAAAGAAAATTACAGACAAGCATGTTAAAGGTAAAGGCTATAAGACCATCTCCAAGCAGCTGGATGTTCCTGTGACTACAGCTGCACAGATTATTCAGAAATGTAAGATCCATGGGACTGTAGCCAACCTCCCTGGACGTGGCTGCAGGAAGACAAATCGAAGAGGTGGATAATATGAATGGTAACAAAGAGTCCAGAACAACCTTTAAAGACATTAAAGGTGAACTCCAAGGTGAAGGTACATCAGTGTCAGATCCCACCATCCGTCGTAGTTTGAGCCAAAGTGGACTTCATGGGAGACGACCAAGGAGGACATCATTGTTGAAAACAAATGATAAAACAGCCAGACTGGAATTTGCCAAACTGCATGTTGAAAAGCCACAAAGCTTCTGGGAGAATGTTCTATGGACAGATGAGACAAAACTGGAGCTTTTTGGCACATCAGCTCTATGTTCACAGACGCAAACATGAAGCATATGAAGAACAGAACCCTGTCCCTACTGTGAAACATGGAGGAGGCTCTGTTATGTTCTGGGGCTGCTTTGCTGCATCTGGCACAGGGTATCTTGAATCTGTGTAGGGTCCAATGAAATCTCAAGACTATCAACGTATTCTAGAGAGAAATGTGCTGCCCAGTGTCAGAGAGCTTGGTCGCAGTCGCAGGTCATGGGTCTTGCAACAGGATAATGACCCAAAACACACCTAAAAACACCCAAGAATGGCTCAGAGGAAACACTGGACTGTTCTGAAGTGGCCTTCTATGAGCCCTGATCTAAATCCTATTGAACATCTGTGGAAGGAGCTGAAACATGGCGTCTGGAGAAGGCAGCCTTCAAACCTGAGACAACTGGAGCAGTCTGCTCATGAGGAGTGGACCAGAACACCTGCTGAGAGGAGCAGAAGTCTCAGTGACAGCTACAGAAATGGTTTGATTGCAGTGATTGCCTCAAAAGGTTGTGCAACAAAATATTATGTTAAGGGTACCATCATTTTTGTCCAGGCCTGTTTCATGAGTTTATTTTTTAAAATAATTCTGTTGAACCACGGTTCGAAAGCAATGTCTGATTTTCATTGGTTAATTTTCAGAGAATTTTTATTTATTATTACTTTTGTCAGATTCAAGTTATTTCTGTGACTATTGTGGGTTTTTCTTTCATTGACCGACGGCTACCAACTCACCTCATTTAGCCAAGAGGTGAGAACCACTAAAATAGCCCATCCCACTCTCTGCCCCAATCAGTTGTCCTTGTGAGGGTCTCTTTCCAGGGTCTTTAATCTGAGCAGTGATGCTATCTTCTCTGATTAACTTACAGCATGAATCAAAAGACCAGCGGTTGGGAAGTATTGGGCAGTAGCCAGTACTAACACAGAGCCCACTTTCCAGCAACACGTCAACATTTTACATATATTTTGTTGTCATCTGGACTATTCCCTTTTCCTTGTTGTGGAATATATTGTTTTTTTTTAACCTCTTTTTTTTTTTGCCTCCCCCTGGTGTTTTCTAAATGGCTTTCGTTGTGTGGTTGCAGGCATCCATGATGTCTGCTGAGAACGATCCTCTTGGTCCGCTACCTCCTGGCTGGGGTGAGATTGCACTCGTTCTTCTAAATACTGTACTCACTCTCACCTCAGTACTTACTATTCTTTAAACGGGAAATAGATGTACATCAGCAGTTGGTGCTAGAAAGGAAAACAGAAATCTATCATTGTATAGTGTTCTGCAGAACCTTTAGGCACTAAAAGTGAGAAGGCCTTCACAAATATTGCTGAGAATAGATTGTATTTGTAGATTAACTTCATTGAAAGTGCAGTGAGTTGTCCTCATTGTGCTTGTGAGCAGTTCTTAAAAATGACTTAGTGGGTAGATCATTCCCTCTCTTCTCATCTCATCAGTGCTCTGTGGGGCTCTGTTCCTTCTCCTTCTTGTTGCGCAAGATAATTCTTTATGACTCTAGCTGAATGCTTGAGGTTGTTCTCATGCTGCAGAATAGGTTTGGGACCATTCAGCCACCTTCTTGATAATATTGTTGCTGGATAAGACTCTAAACATCTGGTCTGGCTAAGACTTTAGCACAGTACTGTACTCGTGACCTACTTTCGTGGCAAACGCTTTTTCAAATTGTATCAAGATAGTTTCAGATCAATGTGCTGCCTGGTCTATCTACACTTTCCTCCCAGCCTTCTTCCCGGTAAAAGCTTTGGCTCTGCTGCGGCGACACGCTGTTCACAGAGATCACAGATGACAGCTGTGTTTACAGCATGAGTCAGCACTGGTGATAATCTGACATGTGCTGCCACACAGCGGGGCACCGCATCTATTCTGTCAATTAAGCCACAGATTGCTGTGTTTGTTTTCATCAACTTCAGAGAGGCGTGTGGACTCCAACGATAGAGTGTACTTTGTCAACCATAACACCAAGACGACGCAGTGGGAAGACCCCCGAACCCAAGGGTGAGCTCAGTGCCAGAAAACACACAACAGAACACTAAACCACACATGGCCTGTGTTTATTAACCTGCTGTTAATCTGTGAGGTTAAACAAGAATGTATAGCTAAGAATCTATGATAGATTATATTTTTTAAATTGTAAAGGTTCATTTAGGCAATATTGGGCGTTTTCACTACACTAGTAATTTGATAAAATCTTTTAAATTCTAGTAACATAGTAGTTGTATAAATGTGTGCAGATTATATTCTGAATGTACAGTGTATTGGCTGAATCAGTCTGCTTTTCATCAGAACTTCTAATACTTTCAAAAAAATATCTTTATTCTAAGTACAGTCATGACTCGATAATCCGACCCTTAACAATCCTAAACCTTGCT